ATATATATATATTTGTGCCAAGAAATATACTTGTTGCACACATTTTGTATACACATAATTAGGTTACATAATAAATAAATAAATATATATATATATATATTAAAGAAGATATATATTACGTACTTGTATTTATATCCAACTACAAGCGTCTCACAAAATAAAATATGAAATATTGTGGCAGCCTCGTGGCATTATTATATATGGGCAATAGGAACATGAATACATGATGCTTTCCTTTGTTATTGGAGTGGATGGCAAACAATTCTAAACCTAATATTATGCCCAGACATTTTCTCAACTGACTAATGCTGCTAAACATTGTACATAAAGTAACAATACATCATCCCCTTAACTATATTGCCTAACCAATGTAGTATGCAACATGCGACATCACTTATGAAACAACCGATGTAATATATGATGATTAATGTAAAAAATTATTTTAGTTTTAAAAATTTAACCATGCTGGCTATTACTTTGGTTACAAGACAATTAACAATCAATGTAACACCTGGTGTTATATCCTATTTTTCCATCAGTGAGCTGATTATATATAAAAATTAAATTATAGAAGAATTTAATACGAGGAAAGAATTAAACTAAAAATAGGAAGGCAAAACCAATTGTATCACTAGCCAGATCCTGGTTTTCAGGTTATTTCTCAACACTTCGTTGAAAGACTGCTAGCTGTGATACAACTTCAATTTGGTGTCTTTTGACTCTGATTGAAGTTGTGCCATCACGCACGCATTTTTATTTTTATTTTTATTTTAACTTGATGTGGCCAAGATTCCATATCTGGAATTGACAAAGAGGAATTAAATTAGGATCAAATAAATGTATTTAAGTGAACAAGGTTGGGTTTGAATGGAATTTTTTTCCGGGGATGAATTCATTCTCAAAAAAGACAGCACTTCAGCATGATCAGTATTCAGTAACGCGGGCTACACATGTGCCCATTAATTTATAATTAATAATTTACTAATGATTAACTGAGGAAATTGTTACATTGATTATGATAAGTACTTTTATATCTATATATATATATAATATTTGGTTAAATTATATTTACAATAATAAATCAATATTCTCTTTGTTCTCTGTTACAAGTTAAAAAAAATACCGATTTATCATTAAATATAAGTAAATTTCTACTATTTTATCTTATTTAATGATATTTTTCTTAATTAAAATACTCTTCTTTTAATATATGACTTTTTAGTTATATTACTTATTATTTTGACATTTATTATAAGATAATTTAGAAAAAAATATAATAAAATTAGTAAAATTTAATATAGATAACAAATTTTTTTAATATATAAAATTAATTTTTTTTCTTAAAATAACAGAGAATACGAAATAAGTGTATTTGTTAGCAAGCCTTATGCTTTCATCTTTACTCTTAATTATGAAAGCTATTTTTCCGTTCTTTCTTTTTCATTCCAGTGAAATCTTCTTAAAATTAAGCAAGTCAATTTTCTTACTCGAAGACAGCTAACAACCCAACATAGAAACAAATTTTCAATAAGGTGTTTATGTTTGATTTTTTGTGCCGGTCGTATATGGTTGCGGTATCCTTGTACTTATAATTATATTATATATTTTGGCTGTTCCAAAAAAATAAAAAAAAAATAAACAAATTTTCAATGTCAAAGCATTGTTTTGTTTTCTTTAATCTCAACGTGACTTTAACTAATTAAAGTCGAGTTAAAAACTCCATGTAAGAGTCAACGTTTGCAAAACCTATTCTCTCTACAAGTGTTAACGAGACTTCAACATGAAACATTACCTTAAAATAAATAAACTTGTCCTTTAAGCTATATTATATCCATTACTCAAAGAAAACAAGTTTTATATAATTTGTCAATAGCCTGTGATTGGTGGTAGATCCGGTGAATTAGGCAAAAATTCCTCTAATGAAAGTTAAGCCTCGAGTATAAATAAGTTGCCATATTTCAGGGTTAATTAAACCAATACCAAAATCACAACCCTCTCCATTTGAAAAATAAATAAATAAAAATCCTTGTGTTCTCTTGTTCTTCCGCAATGTCTTTTCCTAACGTCAAACTTTGTTTCTGGCTTTTTTCATGTCTTGTTGGCATTGCTTCAGCTGAGTTAGACCCCAACTATTATGCATTAAAATGTCCCTCAGTTCTCACTATCGTTAAGGGAGAAGTAACCACTGCTGTGCTAAAAGAGCCTCGCATGGGTGCATCCTTACTTCGTCTCCATTTCCATGATTGTTTTGTCCAAGCAAGTCTTCATCTTGTGTTCTATTTCCATTCCTTATATATTCTATTCATTATGTATGCATGCCTACATATTATGCCTTCTGCATGCATCAACATATCACGAGTGAAACTTCTATGAAAAATAATAGTTACACTCACTTTAACACTTTTTTTATTAACACTTTTTTTATTATCATTTGAAAATCACATATTTTAATAGTTCTTACTACTTAATCAAGGGTGTTAGTATTCGAGACCCACAAAATTTATAATTTATAATTAATAATAGAACGGGTGTTAGTATATCAGAATGTTAGAATATTGTCGCAAACTTTTATATGTTTGCTTACCATCAATCTAATTCCGGCACTCTCACGAACAAAAGTTCACTCACCAGCTGGTGAAGCCGTTTAATTTGGTAATGTTTTGAATCAAAATTGTTAAGAGTACATGAGTTACAGTTTATACAATTGCCAACTATGTGTAACTACAATTTCGCAGCTAATGAGTCATGAGAATAAGTTAGACTGTTAGTTGAGATTTTATGACTTGCATCAAATTTAGTTAGGCTTTTTTTTATATTCATTAAACTGTTTTTACTCATTAATTTAGTTAGACTAGCTGGTCATGCAAACTTATTTAATTAAAAATTGGGGTTTTAAGCTATTATAAAAACCTTTAGATTTTATGCAAGACGACTTATTTAAATAAATAAATAATAATTTTTTACTATAATATTTTGAAAATACAACTACATATTAACTTATTTAAAGGCTTCAAATCTACTGATCTAAAAAAAAAGAAAAAGGAGTAGGGTCTATTAAATAGTTATTTAAAAATAGATTTAGTATGTATTTCATTTATCATTGCTTGGGCTAAATGAACATTTACTTATTTCAATGGAAGAAACATAGAAGTAACTCTTTTGTTTAATTGTATTGAAGGATGATTATGTTGAATATAACTCTTTTACAAAAACACTCTTAATAACTTATTTAAAATTCTTATAATAAAGTAAGCTTTTCAATAGATACATAAACTTCTGATAAAAAAAGATAAGGACAGGCAGAAAAAGACCTTAAAACTAAAAGTTAGGTTAAACTCATATCTTACAAAACCTAACAATATTTAATCCCCAATGACTCGACCCATTTATATAAGATCAAGGAAAAACCACTTATTATTTTCAACAATTTTACAGGGATGTGATGCATCTGTACTGTTAAACGACACAGATACTTTCACAGGCGAGAAGACAGCTTTTCCAAATGCTAACTCATTGAGGGGTTTCGATGTTATAGACAAAATAAAATCAAAACTAGAGTCAGATATCATATGCGCTGGTAAAGTGTCTTGCGCCGACATCTTAGCAATTGCTGCACGAGACTCTGTTGTTGCTGTAAGTATATTGTATATATATAAGGTCATTGGGAAGATTAATTATTCATTAATGGTTTAATTTTATCACAATTTTTAACCAATAATTACCTATTAGAAAAGTCAAATATTCCCTATGATTTACATGCTTGATGAGTAAATGTTGAAGAACAATATATTCTCAGCTGGGTGGACCTACTTGGACGGTTGGTTTGGGCAGAAGAGATTCAACCACTGCAAGTTTAAGTGCTGCTAATTCAGACTTGCCAGCTCCTTTTCTGAATCTTGATGGCATCCTCACTGCTTTTGCCAATAAAAATTTCACTGCCAATGAAACTGTTGCACTATCAGGTACATAACTTGGTGTTTTTTTCTTTTAAAATGTGAACAGAAAGTCTAGAAAATTAATATACAAATGGACAAAACTAAAATATAATATTTTAGGTGTGATTGATATTGTTCTCTAATTAAAATTGAAGATTTAATTTGATAATATAAATATTTATGTATATTATTATCAAAATAAATATCTAATTTTTATTAAAAAACAATATTAATCACACTTAAAAGAATTAAGTTTTGAACGATACAAATTTAGTTTTAATTAATATATTTAGCCTACTCTTTTGTTTATTTATACTTTTTTTCATAGTTAAACAAACTAAAACACATGCAAAACCAATATTTATAAACTACATATATACTATATAGTGTCTCGATAACAATATACATAAATAGTTCAGTAATTTAACTACTGATGTATATGCATTTGTAAATACTCATTTACCTAGCTACTAATACTGGCTAAATACATGCATGAAGTCGTGAATAATTAATTAAGTGAATGTACCACAACTTAAACCCATCATTGGGCTTTGGGAATAATTACTGCTCTAAAATACAGTGGTTTGACATCCTTTAAGAGACCAAAAAAATAAACATTCTACATCTTTGCTTCATAATTTTTCACAATCTAATATATAAGACCTTCAAATAGCCTTTCATTATACATTTCAATAACTACTACTTGAAGACATTTTTATATAAATTATTCTCTTTGGATTTGACTTTAAGTTCTTTCATTCTACAAATTAATAGCCTTTCTCTATCTACTTTTCATGCATCATATGGAACTTAATAATTCTCCTCATATAAATATGCCAATTATTAAAAAAAAAAATTATCGTGAGCTTGAAATCACAATAGTGGAGGTGGCCATCTTCAAAGGATCAATAGGCTTTTTAATATTACTTTAATATAGATGAAATTAAAAGACTGAAATTTTCACATGCTCCAATGATAAAAAGTACTATATTATTTTATTTAGTCAATTTTGACTTATCTTCGCTTATTCTTTCCTTTCTCTTGATTTACAAATGACAAGTAGAAATAAAAATTATCAATATATTTACATATATGATAACTCTCGGAGACATTTACAATTTTTTTTTTAAGTTCACAAAAATAATCGTTAAAAAACTAAATTATGTTTTAGTCCTCCAATTTTGAGATATATATTTAGTTCTCCAAATTTAAAACTTGTATTTTTAATTATTAAAATATAAAAATTATTATTTTGATATTTTATATTTAAATTTTATTTTTTTATTTGTTGCAATGTCAAAAAATATTTAGTCACTAATATCATAACTGGTTGTAACAAATCATAAGAAATTAAAATAATAAATTTTGATATTGTGAAGACTAAAAATACAAATTTTAAATTTGAGAAACAAATAATATTTTTAAAAATTATAAAAACTAAAAACATAAATTTTAAATAATATATATTCTGAATTTAAGGAACTAATAAATATATCTATTAAAAATAAAAGAACGCAAGCGGTACTCAAATGCGAACAAAAGTGCTTTAATAATAAAATCTTGCTTTATTTAGTCAATATTGACTTATCTTTGTTTTTTTTTTTTGTTTATCAATCAATATTGACTTGTCTTTGTTTATTCTTGCCCTTCTCTTGATTTACTTGACAAGTACAAATAGAAAATTATTCATATTAATTTCTATTATTTTTTTAATTTTCGTTTTTTAGTCCTTAAAAAAAATACTGGTTTTAGTCTTTAAAAAAATATATAGTTTTGTTTTTAGTCTTTCATATTTTTTTTTATCAATTTTTGTTTTTAGTCCTTCAAAATATTTTTAACTGATTTTACTTTTCCAGAAGTTATTTTGTTCTATTTTTAGTCCCTCTTTTTTTTTTTTTGTCAATATCTTCGTTTAGACTCTCAAAAATGTGTTAAGATATTTTTAAATATAATTAATCGTGAATAACATATGGGATAATAACTTAATCTTTCAACAAACAAGTATATAAAAATAATCACGTAATAGTAAGAACTAAAAATAATAGTTCTAAATTTTAGACAAATAAAAAAATAATATTAAAAGGATCATAATCAAAACTTACTTATTTTATAAAATTAAAAATATATTTAAATCTTCTTTCATATTTGTTATTTATTATCTATTATAAAACAAGATTTTGTCAAATAAGCACATGTCATATGTCAACACCATATTCATTCTTTTCCCACCTAAAAACTCAATGAATTTTTATTTTACTTTTTTTAATTCATAAAATACATGCATATATTTAATTATTGTAAGGAAATACAAAAATTATATATTATATTTCAACTAATCAATTAAACACAATTAAATCATTTAATTTATACATGTATATTGTTTTTATATAATAATTATACAAAAAAAAATTAATTCAATCAATCAATTAAATTATTCAATTTATATGTAATTGCATTGTAAATAAAAATATTAAATGCATCAATAACTAATTAAGTATATGCATAGGCAAATACTTAGAATTTTAAAACTTATGAATTGAACAATGATTGAATAACTAATATTAACTTTAAATTTTGAATTAAAGAAGAATCATTAAAAAAAATTATGTAATGACACACACAATAGTAACTAAATACTTATTACAATAAATTATTTTTACATACACTATAAATATATATATATATAATTAAATCTCATTTAAAATTAATACTAAAATTATATATGTAAGTATATATTTAAAAGATTTATATTTACATAAATTATATTCATAGTGACACTTTTTATATATCATTATATGTAATATTTATTATAATGAATAAATTCGTGCATTATGAAAATTCTATCAAGAAGAGGAAATTCTTGCCAAAATAAGTTAGCATCATGGAAATATTGAGCATTAAATAGAAGTATTACTTCCAATGAATATGAACTCGTTAATACTTTTCAATAGCTATCTAGCATTACAATTTTATTTTTAATTTTAAAAAGATCAATAAAAAAAAGAAGATAATTATGTTTATAATGGTGTCCAATCATTTAAAGTGTGTTCAAACCTTATAAAAGTAAAATAATAATAATAATAATAAATAAATAAATAAATAAAAAGACACTACAAAAATGTGTCTGATACGTGTTCAAGGTGTCCGCAGTATGTGGATGTCCAAGAAATATCGAACACCTTTGTTGCTAGCCATGTTTGTACTTTCTATAATTGATAGTAGTGTTTAATTATTAATGAGATGAAATTTATGATTTTAGGTGCTCACACAATAGGCAAAGCTAGGTGCACAACCTTCAGATCAAGGATTTACGACGACACCAACATAGATTCATCATTTGCGACATCATTAAAAGCAAATTGTCCACAGACAGGTGGCGATGACAACCTATCCCAGTTAGACGCCACCTCTGAAAATCTTTTCGACAATGCTTACTTCAAGAATTTGGAGAAGGAATCTGGTCTTTTGCACTCTGACCAAGAGCTATTTAATGGAGGTTCAACAGACTCTATAGTGCAAACTTACATTGACTACCCTTCAAAATTTATGACAGATTTTGCTAATGCAATGGTTAAGATGGGCAACCTTAGCCCACTAACGGGAAACGAGGGTCAGATTAGAACCAAATGCTATCAAGTCAACCAGTGAATATTGCCTAATTAATGGCTATAATTACTATTAAATGTTTAATGATGGGATAAAATAATTTTCTTTTACGTTGTTCTTATGTTTTGTTACTTGTCAATTTATCATGACTGCAGTTTAATGTTTTTTTATTTTTCAAAGTCATGTAATGAACTTGTAATTGATCGTATATATGAATTAATTAATATAAATTGTTAAGAGGAAACATGGTAAGAAAATTGACTTACGATTGTAGACAAAAATTATCATTAAAATTGAAAATTTATAAATAAATGTTTGTTTTGCATTAATTTACAAATAACTTATTCGTCACAACACTAAAAAAAATTATTTTTTCTGCCATTTTTATATCATTTAGTGGTCATACAAATGACCGTTAATTCTTTTACCAACGATTAAATTATGGCAGGTGTATGTGGAGTTAGTAAAATTATTAGTGACATTTAGAGAGGATGTTGGTAAAGACTAATTAAATGACCAAGAAAAATTAAAACTTTTAATGATTTTCTAATTAGCAATTACCCCTACCCTGCACAATTACCAACCCTTAGTTATTCGGGGCAAAAGACAAAATTGATTTCTACCTCTATTTTTTTAATTGCAATTTTAACAATTGCGTATTACATTGTATTATTGATATAATACACTGAATTAATTTAGTAACACTTGGAATATTAAAATGTATTCTTGTATTACACAAATACGTATGAACAATTGGTATATTAAACATTTAAACTACACTTATATTACACAGTATTCTTGCATCAATATAAAAGAAAAAACATGCATGAAACAATAATACATATCCCCTATTTCTAGATCTCTTTTACATAAAGTTCATTTGAATTCTCCAAGAGATTTCTTATTTGGTACTTAAAAAAGACATCCGGAAACAATGGCGTAGCATAGCTTCCACCCACATATGCTAATTAAAAAAGCTAGAAATGTAGTCAAACTAGAGGAAAGAAATTGCACTGTCTTCCATCTCCCACTTCACAATATAACTCCATATATAACTAGGTATGCTATTCAAAAGTCAAAATTAGCCCACTAGTTCCAAGAGCCCAATTAGTTGAAAACATGTTTTCCCTTCATCAAAAACACTTCAACTCTTGGTAATTTTAGTGGTTTCTCTTTCTCATATGCCACATCCACCCTAAACTTTGAGCCTATAATCCTTTCACACTTGTTAGCCTTTTGCAAGAAGTCTCAAACATGTTGCACAAAAAGATCAGTTGTACAAGTTTCAGATCACTTCATGGTTAATGATGAGCCTAAAGAAAAAATATCAAACAATTGTCTACTTAATTTCATATGCTTTGATCTTCACATCTGTTTCCATCAGTTCCTTTATAGAGCGAACCATTTGATGTTGGATGTAAAACCAAAACAGAACATAAGCACACTAATTTTATCAATATTTTAGATAGAAGAAAAACAAATCATGGAACTATCCATATATATTGAATGAAAGAAACTGGAATACAATTAGTAAAAAAAACTCTACCTTTTAAATATCAAACCAGTATGTCTATTTTACATATGGTATAATACTGTAAGCCTAGACAAAATTTTTAGACTATGCATTCATGAAGCAAGATCAAGTGTAGGACTACTACAAATAGCATACCATTTATAATTCAACAAATCTCAACGAATTTATAATTCACAGTGACCTAAATAAACCTACTATTATATATCTGTTCACAAATCAATTTTATTTCAATCAACAAGTCACCAATTGTCATAATTTATCAACTAATATCCAAAATAAGAAACGCATATGTAAAAACATGTTAGATGGCTAAAGTCGTAATCCTTGTAAACATTAAGAGATAATAAATATCAACCATATACAATTTGCTTTGGATCTTAAAAGCATAAAAACCTCGTAAAAATTTCAATTCACCATCATATAATAAGATAAGTTGAACGAGCGTCATAATCGATTGGAGACCGTGTACTCACTATCATCAAGCTGACCATCAAAGCAAATACATGGATTCAAACAAATTATAGAGATTCTTCACCATTAATTCTTTCGTGAATCCAATTTTACGTATTGCTTTTTGTGGGTCCAATTTGTTGTACGTGAAAAAGTAATTTTTTTGTATTACTTTTGTGATCGTTGATATTTACACTACAAGGAAATTGTCATATAGTGACACATATCCTATAGGAACACAATATGTATCACTAAAAATTACTTTTACATATATAATAAATATAATATATGTTAGTATATTGTTAAAAAGTGTGGGTATAAATTATAGTGAGACACAAAATATGTTGTTAAATCTCATTCAAAATCAACACTAAAATTGTATGTAGCTATATGTCAAATAGATATATACCTACATATATTATGCTTATAGTGACACTTTTTGTATGTCACTGTATGTAACATTTATTGAAATATTATAAACGATAATTAATAGTTTTTCACGGACTAATAGCTAGTGACTAGCCACTAAATCGTATATTTTAAAAAATAAATACCGGCAATTATATTATAATCATTGTAAAATTGTTATTAAAAGTTTATTTTGTGGTAATATGTGAGTTGTATAATAGTTAAGATATAGCTAGTTATTCTTCCACAATGACTTTCCCTAACTTCAAACTTAGTTTGTGTAGGTCTGTTTTCATGTTTTGTTGCAACATCATGTCCCTTAGCCCTTACTACTGTTAAGGAAGCAGTAAAAAATGTTGTGTTACCAGAGCCTCGCATGGGTGCTTCCTTACTTCGCTTTCATTTCCATCACTGTTTTGTCCAAGCAAGTCTCTTCATCTTGTTTACATTTTCATTCATTTATATATATAAATATGCCTACATGTATTATGCATTATATTTGCTGCATGCAATTTTGAGTTTCAACATATTAGTGAAAGTTGTATACGTTTGCATACCATTTATCACTACATCCTCAAGCACATTCTTTTACATTTACTATCAAGTTGTAGGTCAAAGTAGTACTAAATTCAATTTTTGTAATTAATGTCTTAAATTTGAGTATTATATGTGATAAAAACATAATTAAGAGAAAAGACTTTATTAAAAATAATTAATTAACTGAATTTTTTAATGGAAGATCAATTGTTGACAAAATCAATCAATATTTTGTATTAATAATACGATTACTCAAAAAAAATATTATTTTTTATTACTTAAATTTAATTAATGCCATGCTTTTTCCACTTTAGCTACGGCTAAAATATCAAAGACCATTAATTTGTTTTAGTAATATTTTGGTGGCATGCATTTTACAGGGATGTTTTTTTTTTGAACAGCTAAGAAAAATTTCATTGAAAAAGTACCAGTGGTACCAAAAAGATAAACAGAAAAGTGTACA